ACTTCCCATGCCCTAGTCTCTTGTGTGCCAACCCCCAAATGTTGTGGTACTGCTCGCATTGGTTAGGTTATTTTTGTTGATTCCCCATTGTCAGAATTTAACTTAAACTGCTTCTTAGCAAATATAAAATCAAAAATGCAATGAACTCGCCTTACAGAACCCAAACAACGGGACATAGAAAACAAATAAGGCAATGCTAAAATATCGTCTTTCCCACAAAATCGCATTATTCTTTTATGTCACAAGCAAAAATAAACGAGAGGCAAATGAGCCTTGAGTCAAAATCAAAATTTCAAATAAGACTGATTTGAAAAGGATATGCCCCTCATAAAGTTAGACGGTTATGAGGTGTTAGATCGAGGGATCAAGTTGACGGTTCACAAGAGAAGTAGAAGAGTTTGGAAGGATTCGAGATTAAAGGTCCCTTTCAGAAGGCGGCAAAGAATCGTTATGGATCTACCAAGTAACCGACCGAAATGAGATCGTGCTCAGACAAATGGTGCTGAGCTACCAATTCGTCAACACGAGAACTGAGGTCCAGCCACACGCGAGGCAGCGAGGCCCGATCTTCCTCAACTATATATAGGCCCATGGGCTAGAGATTTGTCAGAGAGAAAATATGGAAAGTTGGTTCAAAAATTAATGCAAAACATTAAATGTGAAAGATGGTAACTCTTATTAGCCCGTAGATGTTAACAATTCAAGCACAGCAGGAGAAAGAAAACGTTCTATTTAGTGTCACATGACTTTCCATTTTGAAGGAAATGTCGGTTAGAAGGAATACGTAAAGTAATCTTATCTGAAGCCGAAGGAATGAGGCGGAGTGAAGAAGTGTTTGGCCCATAGTGCTTCGACTAATACGTGCTAGGTTTTAGTTTTTATTGTGACAGTCATCCTCAGAGCATGAATCCATACTCTACGAAATGGCGGGAAAATGTATAAACCAATGAAAAAGATGGCCGGCTGCAACCATAGTCATATTTGTATCCGTCTACCTTGCGATCTTAATGAGGCATCCCATGATTTAGTTGTTTGGCTCAAACATGCTCTGCATTTGTACATCTGCAAGCATGCAAAGTAAGTTTGAGGTAGCTAATTCCTCTGCTAGAAGAGTCAATATGGACCAAGCGACTGGACAATGTATGTTATTTTGCGTTGCAAGGGATTATAGTCGAGGCGATCTCGATTAACGAAGACAAATGCCTTACTCAACTTCACGCAACTCTAAAGCCCGGAACACCAACGCTACCAGTGACCGAAATCGTCTGTATCTGGAATATGTTGTTAAAGAGGACATAAGGTTGTGCCAATACAGCGAACAATGTCGACTCATCAAAGCACCAAAAATAGGTTGCATGTAAAAAGAAGACAGCAGAGAAAAAACGACTGGCATACCTTGCCATCGGGTTGCTTGATTTTCAAAAGCTGACAGGCTGAGTCCAAGACGCGGCCGAGAAGCCAGGACTAAGAAGAAAACAGAAAGCAGAAAAGCAGATATGAGTTAAAATGAGAATGTGGTGAACCCTGTGAGAAGTGCAATAGACGCAAGGTCCGCCCTAAGGGCCCAAGCCTCGAGCACATTTAGCCTCAAGCCATCACTTGCTCGCGTGCGGTAGGTCTTGTCGGCTCAGTGAGCTGGATGCTCAGACCAAGCTCTTCCCTCCTTGCCACGACATTCACCTGTCAGGCATACAAGACCAAGCGCACAGACATGCACACATTACCACATAAGTATACACGCACTGAGACGCCCGGCCCGTAGGCGCGATAGCTCCCTTTCCGTCGTGTGTGGCCTACATTCAGCAGGTTAAGCCAGTTCGGCAGAGGGCTCTAGCTCTGCCCAAGTGGCGCAGTTAAGCGACCACAGTCTTTCGATTAAAAATATGATACTACGCCTGCCCAGATCATAATTTCCAGTTAGCTTCTCTACGATGACTGCCGGTGCATATAAAAAAACTTTGCATTACGCTGATGAAGCAACTCGAACTGAACCAAACCAAACCAGCCCAGCCATTTGATGAATGCTGTCCTCGTTGCGCACAAAATAAGCCCAAACTTTTCCAGTTTATGGCGTTCTGAAGAGTTCGTGCGTGAGCGTTACATGAC